TGTTGTTAAATTAACTGTTGTTAAGAGTTATGGATTTCAACTCATAACGGCCCTATATACAGGGTGTCTGAGGAGCAGCTGGTGGGATTGAACCACCCTTGCGGTTCAACTCGACCTCACAGTCCAGTGCTTATTTTACCTGGACTCCATTGTTAAATTGTTGTTGTTTAGTGTTGTCGAATCGTTTCCAACCCATAGTGACCCTGTATAGGGCTTCCGAGGAGTGGCTGGTAACCTTGAACCGCCGACCTTGCAGTTCAAACGATGTTGCAATCAGTGGCATTAGCCCACAGCACTGCACGAGGACTCCATTGTTAAATTGTTGTTGTTGTTAAGTGCTGGCGAGATGGTTCTGACCCATAGCGACTCTGAATAGGGTTTCCGAGGCTGTAAATCTTTACGGGAGTAGAAACCCTCATCATCTCCCGCCAATGACTGGTATAGATTTGAACTGCTGACCTTGCAGTTAGCAACTCAGCTTGTGATCCACTAAGCTACCAGGGTTCCCTAAACAATTGATGGTAGAAAAATATAATTAACTGCTATCTGATAACTTAGTATTGATTCATTGGCTTTAACTCAGTATTGGTCCATTAACTTTAATACATGAATAAATCAGAAAAATGAAAGATTTCAAGAATCAGTGGTAGCCTGGAACATGGAACATTCTACCTATCTAAAACCTTGTTTTCCCTGAGAACTTGTATTTTTAAATCGTCCTTAATAAATTTCATTTGATTATCATGTACTGTATACTTTAGACCATTTGTTGTTGTTAAGTGCCATCGAGTGGGTCCCGACTCATAGCAACACTGTATAGGGTTTCTGAGGAGCAGCTGGTGAGCTTGAACCACTAACCATGCAGTCCAGTGCATTAACGTACAGTGCTGCCCCAGGACTCCCAGAGTGCTGCATCAAGACTCCCAGAGTGCTACCCCAGGACTCCCAGAGACACCAGTCTTGCAAGTGGTAGTGTGCTATCATGTCAGTTTCACCTCAGCCCTGTCGATGGTTTCCGAGGCAGTAAACATTAGGAGAGTAGAAAGCCTCATCTTTCTCCTGAAGAGCAGCTGGTAGATTCAAACTGCTGACCAACAAGTACCCACTACACTAGCAGGGCTTCTCAGTTAGTCCTCTTGTCCACCTTCATGCTTAGCACCCAGTTTCATGGAGTTAGAATGGAGCCATGTTAGGTCACCAGATAATCTTCTAATGCTTTCGGCTTGATTACAACTCACAGCAACCCTTACAGGATAGAACTTCTTGATAGAGGTTTCAAGGCTATCATTTTTACAGAGGGAGTCCTGGTGTGGTGCTGTAGGATAAGCACTGGACTGATCGTCTAAACGGTGATAGTTCAAACCCCCCAGCTGCTCTTTGGAAACCCCATACAGGGTCACTTTGACTTGGAAGTGACTCGACAACCTTAACAACAGTCTTTACAGAAGCACACACTCTGTCGTTCTCTCGTGGAGCAGCTAGCGAGTTTGCAGGAATGATGTGGACGCCATGTCCGACTTCCTCTGGCCTCACAAGGGAAAAGGAAAATCAAAGTCAGAATCAGCCCAAGGCCCATTTCTATGACGCTGAGGTCAAACAGGCTTCCATCCTACAATCTTCTCTCCCCACTTCCGATATGAACCATCCCTCCGGCGACCTCTGCCTCACATCTGGGTACTATCACCTGTTGCAGTGACCACACAGAACTCATCGACAATACTGATGATTATGGGGTTTATCAGGGACGTGAACAGGACGCTGTTTAGAGGCAGAAACTCGGGATGCAGCAGTCCCCTAGTCAGGAACACCTCTGTTCCACCGTATTGCAGGCTTGCCTTGCTCTTACCTCTTGCCTCTCAACCTGCTTAGGCAAGTGTTACAAAGCAGCTTTAGCTGTGTCTGTAAATGCCCAAAGGGCACCTTCTGTAAGCCAGCCTACCACCCACAAACACTAAGCTGTACTTCGTTCCTGGGCCGGGAAGCCCGCAGCTGCCCTGTCCATGTTGCCATCTCTGCCTCTATATGTTTCCACATAGGAATCTCACCCTTGGTTCCTGGCTCATCTTTCCTGGTGGTCGTGGGCTTATCTGTTTCTGCTTCTGAGATAGCAGGATGGCAAAGTTACCATTCCCACCGTTAGCATCTTGGGGACCCTATTTTCCCACCCAGTCATTTGGTGAAAGTTAAAAAGACCCCCAGCGAGATGGATTGGCAAAGTGGCAGCATCAGTGGGCTCAAGCATGGTGACAATTATGAGGTTGGCCCAGAGTCGGGCAGTGTTTAGTTCTGTTGTACATAGGGTCGCTATAAGTTGGTACCAACTCGATGGCATGTAACAACAGCAACAACAAAAAGACTGGATGGAAAAGCCACATCAGGTGAATTCATGGTACCACAGAGTTCAAACTTCCAGCCTTTCAGTTAGCAGTCGTCTGCTTAACCACTGTTATCTCAGCAAAAGATGACTTTGTTTCTGATGTGAAAAAGAGTTAGTCATAAGCTACTTTCATTTAGCCTTTTTTTAAATGACTGATAGTAAATGAGCTAATGCTTGACTGGACCTTCTGTATCATGCCTGTCCCTCTTGGTTCTGTTTGGGGACAGGGTCAGATAGGCTGAATGACTGGAGCAGTTCATCTTCAGAGCTAACATTGTAGGTGTTCTAAGGGTAGGGTAGTTCAGGGTGGTGGACAGACATCTTCCATAGAGCAATATAAAAATTCACTCAATCTTTGTTATCAGTATAAATAAAGATCATGAAAGAGGAACCTCATGGTTCTTCTGACCTTTGAGGTTTTAAGCAGGAGCCCCACTGGTTTGTCATAGCCAACCATTTATAGCAGAACTGCCTTTTGATCTAATGTGGGCTTTTCCTTTCGCTGTGCAGAAGGGTTCGCCATGCCTTAGTTGTTCAACCACCCACTCCCTCACCATGTGTTCTTTGTAAATAGAAGCATAGAGTATCTTTACTTCTTCTTATCTACAGATCTTCCTTTTTATTGGAGAAAAAATTTAAGTGTAAGTTGGACTAGCTAAAATCAGAGATCTGTTTTATAACTTGTGTTCTCCTTGTATTCATACCTGGACCTTTGTATCATTATTTTTATCACAGGCTATGGTTGCTTGTTACCCAGGGAACGGGACAGGTTATGTTCGCCATGTCGATAACCCAAATGGAGATGGACGATGTGTGACGTGTATATATTATCTTAATAAAGACTGGGATGCCAAGGTATGCAAATTAACGGAGCGCTTTTTTCCTCACAGGTTTTTGAGGTATTTCACGTAGATATTTGGGGTATTTTACACAGGTGTCTTTTTGACAGTTACTAAGATCCATACGTTTCATAACATATGAAACCATTCTTAACAGATGGAGCAGTTGAAAATTTGTCAGCTACGTTTCAATCTCAGATATTAAGAGTGGATCTTTATAAAAAGTAAAACAGATACTAATATATCTCAAAAATGGATTCCCTTATTTTTCGGTATTGAAACATTTATCTAAAATTTAACTAACTTTACAAAAAAGTTACTTTTATTCAAATATCTTCATTTTTATAGTTTTTAATTTAAAAAAAACTTCTGGGGATTGATTATTTCACAATGGCTTTTGGGGAAATTTATGTAAAAATAATTTTTATCCATGATTTTTCACTCCTATATTTTATTGATTGCACTAGTATAGAGTTGTTATCTGGCTTTGAGTTGATTGAATATTGTGGGCAAATATGGAAAAACTAGATGTTTGTAATACTAACAAATACTAAAAAGCCAATCAGAGTGTATAGTATATTTAACCTTATTGTTTTAAATGCATACTGCCTTAATATTAGCTCATTTCATGTGAATTATATGATCGTTTACATGGGAGAACATTAGTTTTACATTCATTCTATCGTATATCATCTCATTGCCATTGTTACAATCCCGTCCATGCATCATCAACCAACCAAAGGGTATACCCTGCAAGTCTCCCCACCCCCACTCCAGTCTTCAGCACACCCCAGCCTTCCCTCTCTGGATCTAAAGTCCCCAGCTGCTCCATCGCTCCACATCATCATCTCTGCCTCGATCTCAGGCATCGCTGCTTCTCTGGGTAAGGTCCCGCTCTCAGCTCTTCTCCATTGATGGTCCCAGGGACCTCCGCTCCTAGACTGGAAAGTTAATCACTCCCTTCCTTGCTATAAAATGTCTGCCTTTACATTTCCAATCCTCACAATCAGCCCTGATACCAGTTATTCACAATTGTATCTCAAGAGACCCATCTGCATTTCATTTCATCAGCTCCGCCTAGACAGATTGGGTACTACTCACTGGAGATTCTGCCTTCCTCCAGGCCCCCTGTCTCTAGGTTCCCTCTTGAAATCTTGTAAGCCGGTCACTTCTTGCCTTTGTAGCCCCCAGCCCCCCATTTTGGGAAGCCAATGTCCAAGTTGCCCATCCCTGTCTACTCTGTGTGTGGAGGGGGTGGGAATGATTCTTGCTGTAAGGATTTGTTCCCTATTTTGAGCTACTGCATCCATAGGTGTAGGTCAGTTTCATCAAATTGTATCACATTACTCTGTTTTTCCCTTCTTTCTTCTTCTGGTTGAGCTCTGATCACCCAGTCATTGAAGCCAGGTCAAGTGGGTATTATCTGCAAGTGTAGGTGTTCTTGTTTATATGCCCTCTCTTTTTATCAGCTGAATGCTTCACTCTCCACCTTGTAGGGCTTAGCTTGCTGCTTCATTGCTGTTTTTCCCTCACTTCCCTTTATTGGTGACAAGCGTGGTCACCAATTAGAGCGTGTATTCCCACTGAGTCTTATTCTTGGAAGCTTGGAAGGGGGTTTGTACTGAGGGGACCCGACCACTTGCCTTGATGTTTCCTGGGCAAGCAACTTGTTTGTTCTTGTAGTAACAGTCCGTCTGCCTCTATTGTTTTGTATTTTTCCTGTAGGCCTTTCTTTCAAGAAATATCTTCTGTTCTTCTAGCCGTTCCAGGCTGGTCTGCTCGTCCTTTCAAGTGGAAATTTCCCATCTCTAGAGAACTGGATGTGGTTCAGGCTTCCACCTATAGTCTTATGTATTGCAGTGGCTCTGCAGGAAGCCTCCTTCACTGGGCATGTGGTAGCCCCATTTTAGGTATTCCAATCAGTTATAGGCAGAAGACAGACTTACAGGCTTTCTATGGTGATGTTTGTGGCTATTCCTTTCTCTCCTCCTCAAGTGTCTATTTTATAATATAATACAAGGAAAACCAAGATTCAAAAGACAGCCAAGCATCTTAACATTATTCCCCCTTTTCCCCATTCCAACCATGTCTCAATCTCTGTATCCCAGAGACCTGTAGTTCCAAGGTTGTGCATACATCATTCTTTACCTCTGTCCCACTTAACCCATTCAAACCTGCCTAATTGTTCTCCCATCTGCTTTGTTCTTCCATTCCCCTGTCCCTTCTTGTATATTGCCCCCCTACCCAGCACCCAAACTTTCCTGTGTCTAATCCCAGCAATCAACAAAGAATTCCCCTCACCCCCCTAATAATTTTAAGGGTATATTATACATTGGAGTTTGTATAGCCTTTTTTTGGTAGTTGTGGCTATTGATTGATATTTAAAAATCTTTTTTACTTAGTTTTTATTGAAATATAACATTCAAATAGAAGAGTGAACAGTACATTTTTTACAAAGTGAGCGAGCACACCTATATAACCTGAGTGATTTTTAAAAATCAAGTAACTCTTAAAATATCTCGTCTGTACACAGCACACACAGAAAACCCACACAAGGCTTATGTCTAAAACCTTAACCCTATCCTAACAGGTATTTAAACATAGGATATGCTCAATGCTTCAGTAATCTTTCTCCACCATAAATTCTTAAAGGATTTCCTCTGTTGTAATCCAAGTTCAATAAATAGGTCCGTTTTCTAACTAAGAAAATGTAGAGGCATTGTGTGAACCAACAAGAATGAATTTCTGCCACGGTAGTTTCCAGAGTGTGAAACAGAGAGGAAAGTCATCTTGATTCTGAGGCACAAAACCAATTATTGTGACCTTGGTTAAAACTTAAACACAGATTGTTTGCCTTTTAAGGTTTTGTGAATAGCTAAAAAGTTATAAATATGTTGGATCATCTCCTAACTTCTAGTATTGCTAGAATTTTTTCAGGCTGATCTTTTCATTTTGATGTGACCTAGCTAAAATTGTTAGCATAAGGTTGTAAATCTTTAGTATTTGTATATGTGGAACTAAAAACTTCCATTACAGGATTGCACTTCAAGCATCATTTCAGAACTTTTTAATGCAGATAGTATTCATCTGTTTTATAAAATATTTACAAAAATAGTGAAAATAGATGAATTTTTTTCTGATATCAGTGTATGTGCTGAGAACTGCACCTCACCTTTAAACCTTGGTAATTGACATGTAATTGCAAAAAATCCATTCATTGGAATAATCGCTTTGTTTTGTTTTTTCCCGTAAATGTAATTTTGTCGCATTTTTAGCTACTCATAGTTACGTTTTCGGCTCTTATCCTAGGTAAGTGGAGGTATACTTCGAATTTTCCCAGAAGGCAAAGCCCAGTTTGCGGACATTGAACCCAAATTTGATAGACTGCTGTTTTTCTGGTCTGACCGTCGCAACCCTCATGAAGTACAACCAGCATATGCTACAAGGTAGTGATCCGTTTAAGAAAAATCTGGTAAAGAGCATTGTAGAACGGGAAAAGATAGGTCAGATAAATCTGAAAATTGTCAAAATTGTCTTCAGATACTTCTATCATGGTATTTCACAGTCAGATGTTTTCATTGAGTAATTTAATAAAATGTATGTACGTTTAGTACTGTCTGCCTTTCCTTGCACAACCACACTGTGTTGGCATCAGAAATGCACAGCTCTTCTGTCTTCCTCGCTCTGTCCCTATGCTGTGCTATCTATTCTTCAGTTTGATGAGAGCATTTCACTTGAGCAGCGATTGCACATAGAAGAAAAGGGCAGCGTTTAAAAAAGTGGTGAGGGAGGGAAAAAGAGGGATGATATAGAAAAACGAATACAGAGGAGAAAAATAAGAGAAAACCAGGAGAGTAGAAGTGAAGTAAAGAAAGAAGAGAAAAGAACAGGAAAAATTGTCACGTGTGGGAGTTAATGTTAGAAAAATAGTCCTTTAACATTGATATTAAAAAGTGCTTGTCTCATTGTATTCTTTTTCTACAACACTTAATATTGTTAACCTGTTGTTTTGTTTAATTTTTCTTTTTTTTTTTACTATTTATTGTGACTCAAAGTATTAGGACTGTTAAAATGGTAGGTGTTAAATTATTGTGAAAATAAATATTTGTACCAAAACACTACTATTTTAAAAAATAGTTCTATCATAAACAGGACTTTGAACATTATGATAGTGAATTCCTGGCATTTAGGCATGGGAACCACACTGAGAGTGAGTTGTGGTAAAAGAGGAGACACACCTTCAGAGATTTGGGGATAGCGACTCTGACTTTTCGTATTTCTGAGTCATGTTGCCTTGCAGCCTAATTCATGTCTGAGGAGCATGCTGAGCAGTATGTGGCCAGGAAGCAGAGAAGTCATAGTAGAGATCTGCCATGATAACCCCTCTCCCCTCCACCTCACATGTCTCCTGTCAACATCCCAACACTGTCTCTACCTTTACCACTTAATAAGAACCTTATTTTAAATGGAATCTTGAGTGTAGTTTGAGTGCATCCTTTTAAAAGTGAAACAGAACGAACATTTTTGGGCTGCTAAATAAGTGCCAATAGACTGTGATGAGTAAGGTCTGTAGGAGCTCAGAGGAAGAAAACACTGTTCAACTGGAAAGAGAGAGAGATAGAGAAAGTACCCATGCAGATAGCTCAGCTGACCTTAGAAGGAGAAGCAGCAAGTATAATAGTGTACATAAAGCCCTGAGAGGAAAGGGCAGGATTGTTCAAGTTGTGCTGCAGAGACGAGTGTGCAGAAAGGGATTCCTGAGATCGATGAATGGGAGATAAAATTGCAAAGATAGATTGACACATAGTCGCTTAAAACTGTGTTCTGATAAGGACTTTGGATTTGGACTGTAGAAGGAAGTTGGTGCAGGGGGTTAGACTCTGATCAGTAGCTAACCAAAAGATTAGGAGAGAATAGCAATGAGAATACATTGTCCTTCTTTTCCATTACCAAGGCCACTGAGAGAAATGGGAGAAACTTCATGGTAAGAAAGGTGGTTGAAATGCTGGGAAGTTTGAAGTCAGGAGGACTTAGATCTTGGTTGGCATTGCCACTCACTGACTGGGTAATCTGTGGACCTCAGTTTTCCCTGTTATCCAAACTCCTGGACTCTTTCATTCTATTCTGCATTTGACTCTTCAAAATACATTACATGATCTACTTCTCTTGCATTTACCAGCTTTTTAACCCCCTTTCTTCCCATGGCCAGAATGTAAGATGTTTTGTTTACTTGCTATGTTTTCCTGAGGAATTGGTAGTTTGTAGCTTGCTTTCTGTATACATTTTCCCTGTTACTGGTACCAAAAACTGTAATTCGGTACTTTGTAATAGCTTAATAAACCAGAGATGCCTTTGTAGAATGAGGTATTCCAGATAAGTGTTCCTTTCAGAGAAGGCCCTTCCTTCAGTGATGGGCCCACGCCGCTGAGTCCTTTTCTTCTTCCTTGTCTTCTCCTAGGTACGGATGCTGTTGATATGTGTGCTGTTTCTGGAGCGGCCATTCTTTTTTTGTTGTTACTGTCTGTAGTTTTGCGATTGCAAAACAGCCAAGTGTGTAATTTAGTGATTAAGAAAGTCAAAAACTCACCAACTTTGTAACATCAGCTTTAGCCACTCTTGCTTCTCTGCTATATTCTGTAGCATTGAAGTTGTTGGATAAATGCGTTGTTACTGTATTCATTTATCCCTTGATATAATTCCAGGCATTGCGCTTTTTTAATATACCATTGTAACAGCATACCACTTCTTCCCCCAGTGTGATTCTTACCCTGTTCTACATTTCCTTTTAGGTACGCAATAACTGTTTGGTATTTTGATGCAGATGAGAGAGCACGAGCGAAAGTAAAGTATCTCACAGGTAAGAGCGAAAGTAAAGTATCTCACAGGTAATCGTCATTTGGGGTCAAGGCCCATTAGGGGCCATCACGGGGATACTCTGCTAACCTCTGTTGATTTCACTGAGCTTAAGCGTAGTCTCTCTGAGTGCTGGGAAGACTGTATTCCTTGTTTTTTGTCAAGTTCTTCAGTTCTCATTTAAAAGTAGATTGTCTGGGGTCATCTTCATTTAACGAACAAAATCATTTAAAAATTAGCCAAGTTTGAGACAAAGAAGTCTGCAGAAATTATTCAAGTACAAACCAAGTTTTCCTGTGATTTTTCCTTAAATCTTGGTAACTGTAACCTGACTTCCTTTTGTTCCCGCCTTCTTGTTGTAAAGTGCCGTCGAGTCGATTCGGTTAATACCCTTTTTTTTTTTTTTTAAGATTATGTGCTCTCAATGGAGTATATTGGGCCTTCTGTGTTGAATGTAGATGTTAAGAAATGAATACAAGGTAGATTGGCTGAAATGTTGAACTCAGTTATGGGTACAGGTTTGGAACCACACCCTTCGCTTGCCACAGTCCCTAGCCCTCAGTTACAGGCTGGTTCTCCTAGATTAGTAGGTCTCAGTTTTCTCTCGGATAACCACTTACCTATCTTTTCTGTAAGCCTACCTATGTCTCTGCAAGTCTGCTCAGTGTTAACATTATTGGCTAACTAGATATATTTCCATGAGCCATTCATAATCCCATATCAACCTTTTATTAAAATATGAAAGTTTGGTATTTTTCTCTTCGTGGCAGATGCCCAGTAACAGATTTTGAGGCATGCTGAACACTGTGCTGTTTTGTAGTAATACCAAATTTGCTTTAAAATAAAGAAGGTGAGGTGAAAGTAAAGCCCATTGCCCTGGAGTAGGTTCCGATAGGACAGAGTAGACTCCCGCTGTACATTTGCCAAGGCTCTACACCTTACAGGTGAGACCTGGTGTGGTGCTGTAGGATAAAGCACTGACTGTGCAAGGTCAGCGATTCAAATGCACCAACTGCTCCTTGGAAACCCTATACAGGGTCGCTGTAAGTCAGAACCGATTCAATGGCACTTAACAACAACAGCTCTTACAGAAGCTGACTGCCACGTGTTTCTCATGTGGAGTGACGCTTGAGTTCACACTGGCCACGTTTTGGTTAGCAGCCAAGCTTTAACCACGGCGCCACCAGGGCTCCCTGGTATTTAATGGCGTGATGATTTAACACAACACTTGCTTCATAAGAGAAAGCTGAGGGGGGGAAGTAGCATTTGGAAGTACAGGTGTGATTGTTTTCCAATTTGAAATTTATAATAAATTCCGTAGTGTTAGGAAATAATTGGGAGGCTCTCTGGTGCTTAATGGATTATTTTGTTTTGTTTTTCCTCTCCAGGTGAAAAAGGTGTGAGGGTTGAACTCAATAAACCTTCTGATTCAATCAGTAAATACGTTTTATAGAGCCTTTGAATCCAGCAATACCCCTCTTCACCTACAGTAATTGTTGACCCATGTGTTAAAGTTGTGAATACAAATAAATGGAATAAAGAAAACTAGTCAACCGGTTGGCATTTTAATAAGGAAACGGAAACAGCCTTTTTTTGTGTTGCATCCAACAGAAGATTTTGAGTGCCGTGGCTTTGCGTGACTAACTGCAGATCACTGACTGCTCCTGGGAGACTGTGAGCTCTCAATTGAACAAGACACTTACATCTGGACATGGAACAAGTGCCCTGTGTGTAGAATTGTTTCATTCTTATATTTTGCCAGATTTGACCTGCAGCTGAATTCATTTCATCTCCCGTTTTTATATAGTCGAGTTTAAAATTTGGGTAATTTTTATACGATCAGGTTCAATTTATCAAAAACGAATTGAAAAACATTTCAGTATTATTCCCCAAAATAGCATTGATCTATTTTTGTAAACAACTTCATATGATTACATTTTGCCCCAATAGACCTCGTATAATGATTGTTGCCAGTGACTGATTAATTTTCTTTATACTTAAAATAAGAAAAGAGCACTTTAATTACCAACTGAAAAATCAGATTGTTTTTGTAGTCTTACCTTACATGAATTTGAACTCTTAAAGATTGCTGCTTTTTTTTTATATTGTTGATAATGAAACATAACAGTAAAATAGTCACTATTTACTATCAATGACTTTTTAGTTCATGTTTAAAAAAAAAAAAATAGCAAGAAAGGAATAACTTTTTAAGTTAAATATTTTTTTAAAAATGAAAGTGACTGGCACTAAATGAACTTGAGGTTAGCCTTAGACTCAAGTTCCTAAGATAAAGGGCTTTCTTACACTTTCAGGTGCATCCTATAGGCTTAGGAGCGCCTGTCTTCTTGGCCAAGTAAGATTTATCCTTTTTACTTCCCTTTACTTCCAAATTTGCTGTTATGTTTTCTTCCTAATACTGCGATCCAGCTGATCAGCAGATCCAAACCTTGTTTCTACGGAATGTCATCAGAGGGAGATTATATATGCACCGAGACTGAATGGGTTTTACAGACATTATGCTGAAGTGAGTCCTCAGACTACTGGTGAGGCATTTCCCAAGTATGACATGCTGGTCACTGACCAGCACGGAAAAGCTGTATTTAGTTATATAAAAATACAATGACAAATATCAAACAAGAAACACCAGATCATTTTATTTCTATGTTTTCATTTTTACTTTTTATTAAAAAAAGAGGGACGATTACAAAATCATATAAGACTTCCCAAATTTCAGTTATGAAATTGGGATGGGTGTTTTAGATTTCCATTTCCTAAGCATTTAGCAAAGCCAAAAAGGCAGTGTTCCATGTTTTACATGAACTGCAGGCCTAGGACCTTGCCCACTTCAATTTTCTATCGCTGTCCTTGATCTTTACCAAAATACCGTGTGTGTACAGAAATAGTTCTGTATATTTCAATTTATGACTGTTTTAGCATCTATATAGTTTGTAATGAATTAGAAACCTTTTCTATGGAAAGCTCAGTAATTTTTATTAAAAGATTGATATTGTTCATGTAAAACATGAAAAAAAAAAAAAACTTGTTTCTTGAAACTGACAGTGTGGGTTGAGAATGGGATGAAATCTTCAGTGTTGTGGTCTCACTTGATTATGAACTTGCAGGGGAAATTCATTGTCGACTGTTTTCCCTTTCCTGCATTCCGTCTGTTCCACTCCCTCTCCTGAGTTCCAGACGGAAACACTTACCGTCTCCGCCGCAGTAAGTGCCTCAGCCAGCCAGCCAAGTGCAGTGCATGGCCTTAGGCCACAACTCAAAGTGCTGCCATGGTTAGATTTAGGAGAAACCTATTACGTTCATAGCAGGTTTGTTTGATCTTAAAGACAAACAGCAACACCCTTTTGATTTGAGAGCCCCCATGTTACTCAAATGTGTACTTCTCCGGGAGTACATGATGTCAGATTCTACTATCTGTGGATTATGCTTGCCAGACAGATCGTCATTTTCTGTTTTTCCTTTGTTGTTGTTTTTTGTTTTAAGTTTTTGTTGTTGTTATTAAGTGCCCTCGAGTCAGTTCTGACTCACAAGGACCCCATATAGGGTTTCCAAGGAGTGGCTGCTAGGTTTAAACAGTTGACCTTGTGGTTAACTGTCCAATGCTTATCCTATGGCGCCACACCAGAACTCTCTTTAGTCCACTGTAAAAGGGTAAAAAATTAAGGGTAGACATTTCTTTAAAATCGATTTGAAAGCTATTCATTTTATGTTAGTGTGACCTTTAACTTGTCCTCAAGCAGGACTCTATTTAAAACAAAATTTAAACTACTTGTGGCCTATATATGTTAAATCCTGGTTAAAGATAAAGCTTCATGATGCCGCATATATTCAACACATTAACCAGCTGTAAAACATAGACCTTTATCAATAACAGGCAAAGATTTTCAGGATTCATATACAGACAGCTTATAAAGTTATGTAATTGGAAAAAACAGTGTTTCATTATGAAAGAGCTCTCAAGTTGCTTGTAAACCTAATCTAATTAAAAAGATGTATAAATGTTCTTGAAAACATTACGGTTGTTATTTCCAGTTGCTTTTCTGTTTTGTTCATAATTCTTTGTCATATCATTAATTCTTAGCAGGCCCTTTTATCACATAATGGACTGTCCTATCATACATCTCTGCCTTAGTCCAGAACACTTGGTGTTACTTTTGTAAATGATACTGAGGGAAAGAGAAAGGTAAACAGGCATTCAGCAAGTTTAGAAGCATCCTGGGAGTAACCCGACTGTCCATAAAGCCTATAAGCTCTGTGTTTGGATTCTCAGCATTGTTTCTTGGTGTTTCACAGAACTTTTAACAGTTACTTGAACATGATGAATATTCATCAATCTGTATCACCCTATGCTGTGAAAAGGAAGGGGGTGGCGTTAAGCCTTTATGTCCAGTTGTCAGAGGCGCCCTGTTGTGTGTCTGCAAGAAAGTCTTAATTTGTGTGGCCAGAGAATAAAATATGAGCGCTTTTATTATAATGGGAGGTCAGTATAAATGGTCTTATATCTCACTGATTTTAAAGTGATTTTTAGTGTGGTATTTTGTTATCTTCAGGTCTTATCTTGAGGTATATGAAGAACTATACTCAACTGTAGCTGGGAGGAGGATAACTGCTAACAGAAAAGTTGGCGGTGTGAACTCATGGGGTCTGCAGGAGAAAAACGGGGTGTGATCTGCATCATCAAAGATCACAGCCAAGAAAGCCAGTTCCGGCCTGTCAGGTGGGGTCGCTATGAGTCAGAACCTCTTGAAAAGGACATAACGCACCACAAGGATTAAAGAAGAAGGCAAATTAGTTATGAGATTAAGAAGAATTCGACAAGGCAGTCCCAATTTAGACCTGGCTCATCACTTAGGTGTGTGACCTGCTGAGCCCTCTTGGTCTGAAACTGAGCAGGATAGCTCCACACTTGGAGAGATGGGTGAGACTGAGCAAACACAGTAGGCAAGGCGCACTGCGCACAGTAGCCTTTCAACAGGTAATGTTCTCAAGCCTCCAACAGTATGACACAGAAAAGAAAACTGGGCAAGCAAGCTTTGACTAACAGATCATTCTGTCGAGTGTAAATACTAATCATACGGAATCAGTAATGTGTTCATTGCTTTTCTTATCAGTGTTAGGGCTTTATACAGTTGACTGGAATTAAATCAGTAGTGCACGGCACTTTCCCAGGTGGCCCAAGTATGGACTGCAGTGATACATGGTTATAGTAAATATCAAATGGTATAATTTATATTAAAAAATACACATCTAGATGTTTACAAGTCTCTACTGCTTTAAGGATAGTTTTTTTGACTTTTAAGGTCAGAAATACAGCCCTATATTTTCTTTTTGGTTATATTGCAGATTACTTTCACAATTTCCAAAAAGTACATCAAGGAAAATAGGAAAGTGAGATACAGAGGGACATAGCTTCATGATCTGGACAGTGAATAAGGAAGACCATAGAAGAATTGATGCTTTTGAGTTGTGGTGTTAGAGGAGAATATTGAAAGTGTCATGGGCTTCGTGAGCTGAGAATAATATGCTTTATGTAAAAACTTCTTCACAAAATTGGGAGCACCTAAACAGCTACTGGTAGCATAGTGGCTACATATCGGGCTGCGAACCTTAAAGTCAGCAGTTCGAAACTACCAGCCACTCTGTGGGAGAAAGATGAGGTTTTCTGCTCCCATAAAGATTTACAGCTTCAGAAACCCTGTACAGGGTCACTATGGGTCGGAACCGACTCAGTGGCACTTAACAACAACAAACAGCTACAGGTTGCTAAAGCACAGTGTCTTGAATGGAGTTTTTGAACTCTGAACCAAGTTCCAGAAGGTCAAGGAATTATTAAATAAGGTCTGTCCCTCATTAAGATCTGAACTTTTTCTGCCAAAATTATTATATTTCTATAGGCGTTCTATAAAACCACACCACCACCACACACACACACACACACACACACACACCCTCAGCAGATACAAGTCAGGTGAGCTGAGTTTTAATCACAACTAAAGCAGGAGAATGGGAGGCACTGGCTCAAGCTCACATCTCGGTGAAAACCGAAACTTGAACACAGGACTTCATTTTTATTTTAAGCAAAGTTACACATGCACATATAGCTAGATCAACTTGTCCCGGAGGGGTTGTCAATAAAAATATGTGGGGGCTTCAAAAATTTTGTGGGAAAATTCCATTATCTATTGATTGCATTTTTCCATGAACGTTTAGCCTCAATAGTCCCTCATGTTCTTCTCCTGAGAAATCAAATTTCAACTTTTAAATGATTCTTTGGGTTATCTAACCCCATTAGATAAAAATAAGAATACATTGCTACATCTTGATTTTTTTTTTTTTCAGTATTGTTGTTAGGTGCCAGCGGACAATGACCTTAGAGACAACAGAACAAAACAGTGTTTGGTCCTGTGCAATCCTCACAGTTGTTCCTATGTTGAGCCCATGGTTTCAGCCACTGTGTCAGTCCACCTCATTTGGGGGGGTCTTCCTCTTTTTCATACTTAACCAAGTAGAATGTTCTCCAAGGACTGGTTCCTCTGATAACTTGTCCAAAGTAGGTGAAATGAAGTATCACCATCCTTGCTTCTAATGTGTTTTCTAGCTATACTTCTAAGACATTTGTTTGACCTTCTGGCAGTCCATGGTATTTTCAATATTCTTCACCACCATAATTCAAAACCATCAATCTTGGATTTTTATTCATTGTCCAGCTTTTGCACTTACAGGTGTTGGTTACTGTATGTGCCGTTGAGTCAGTTCCGACTCATAGCAACCCTGTATAGGATTTCTGAGGCTGTAAATCTTTGCAGGAGGCTGATGAAAGGAGATGGGGATGGCACTCATGTGACACAATAGTGAATAACTGCTATCAGGACTGACTGTGAGGGTTGGAAATATAATAAAGGTGGACATTTTTAGCCAAAGGAGGGGA